AGGGACATGCTTGTCTTGCTGTGAGGCCCAATAAATCCGGACGGAGGAAGTACGTAGATCAGTCCTGGTTTTTATGTCCCTATTATATTTTGTGCCAAATTTTGACCATAGATTTAACTAATAAAATGTTCATGTATGTCATAAAAAATTATATAATTAGAAACTATATTTAAGTACAAATTCAACGATATATTTTTTGTTGACATGCATTAACATTTTATAAATTAAATATTTGATCAAAATTTGGCATAAATTATAAAAGGGACCACTAAATCAGGACGGAGGCAGTAAAACCTTAAAGATTAAAAGGGCTTATATTTCTTTATAGAGGAAGTAGCAAATTACTCTACACAAAATAATGGTATATCTGCCGAAAACCGGAGCAGTAGTATACGTTCTAGAAGGGACTATGTGTGTGGGGACTGGGGACTGGGGTCAAGTATAACTATTGTCATTATCAGCCGAAAGCATGTGTTTTATTAGGAAACTCTAAGTTAAAAGCGTACACACAGCCGCGTTTCCGCGGATCCCGCTTGCGTCTCTGTGGTGCTACGGTATTATCGCTACAGGAGGCTACAAGACAAATGCATGGATCACATCATGTGCTGCTGGTTTATACCCAGCTTCGTGCGATAAATGACCGCTCACGTGGGATGCATGCATGAAAAGGAAAAGAAGAACCGAGCAACCCGCTGCATGCGCTAATCTGGTTGGATACATGTCAGAGCATCTACAACCGGACGCCCTCAAATAATGATCACTCATATGCCCGTGGACACGCCAGGTTAGTGACCGGACAGGAGAGAAGAAAAAAGGGACGACTCCACGTATCGTCCCATATGTTCGGGCTGTCCGCGAACCGCATATTGCGGCCAAATGTCGGGAGGATATGAGGGCTGATGGAGGCGCCCCTGTGTGCTCGGTCGATCCGCCACGTAGGTCGCGACCGCACCCCGAACCACATTTTTTCTTTCTTTATTTATTCTTTTCATTCTCTTTCTTCATCTCCATCAATCACAGGCAAGTGATCAAACATACAAGGGAAAAAAATGAGAAGTGTGACCGCACGGACGAACAAATAGGGTTCAAAACGGACATGTCCGATCACTGGCCGGGTGCGTTCGCGGGCTTTTGAGAGGTTAAATTTGGGCAGTCCGGCTGTAGATTCTCTTAGCAGCGTTAATATCTCGTGTTGATCCTTAGTTTTGGCTAAGGGTGTGGTGAGGTCCAGTCTACTATTATTTAATTAATTCTTGGTCAGTGTTATAAGATAATTAAAAACACTAAAAATCAAATTTTGCACGGTTAATGTAAGATATCACGAATAGAGCATTGACTGAGACTTCGTTAAGTTTGGTCCGACTAAGATTTAACTAAGTCTCGGTCAAGTGACATAACATGTAAGAAAATAAAAGAAAAAAATGAAAATAAAGTTTTGCATGGTTAATATAAGATCTCATGAATATAGCATCGACTGACACTTGAACAAGTTGGTACGTAAGATAAGTTTTGCCGAGCTAGATCTGGTATGTTTTGTATGCATCTTAGTAAGTGAACTACAGTCCTCATGCTGACGTAGCACTCACGTAGGCTAGCTGAATGATGCGGTGTTTTCATTGTGGACCATCAACATGGGCATAGGTTCATCTGCCACCCGATGGACAGTATACTTGAAACCAAAAATTCTAAAAAATTAATTTTTTCTGTGGCACCGAAAATAACCGTGTGCTGGGTGCGAGTAAACTTTTAAGGACAAACGACATCCAAAAAGCTTCGGAAGTATGTATTATGGAGAGCTGATTTTTATTCTAGAGGTCCCGGGATGCCATTTCTTGACAAAATTTTGAATGCACGAAGAAAACTTGACCATCTTGGATGTTAAAAGAAAATCAGACATTTTAATTTTATTTTCTACTCTGTTTTCTGGTCTAGATGTTGTTTTTCTGTATTTTTAGAACAAGCATGACAGCCAAACTTACACTTGGTGCATCTACCCAAATCCCGATGGACCACTCCACAGAGATGGATAGGGAGGGGTTCTCCATAGGATAAGAAGTCCTGCCGAGCGAGATCCAATCTATATATAATTCTCAATCACGTACGTGTACGTACGTGCAAGTCGGGGCCAGACGATTTATAGATGAGGTGTCGGTGTGTGAACGATGAGGAGCAGCCATGGATTCATTCATGACGACGTAGAAATCTTGTTCTCCAGCAGCAAGCATACTACTACGTGTTCCACGAGGCTGTGATTCCAATCGATGCATGCATGTGCGTGCATGCACCTACTCCACGACCACGATAAGACGGGCGTGCATTCATGGCTCTGAACAGAACAGCCATCGGGGTGACTAAGGATGGATGGAGTCATGGAGGAGACGTGTATTCACGTGGGCTGTCTAGCTAGTACTAACACACCATGCAAGCACATATGGAGGGGACGGCTACGATGGAAACAACCTTTATGATGAAATACTAAAACTTGGCCGGGTTAGAGTTGCACCACCTCAATCGTTGGATTAGAGTTGGATGGCACATACTACTACACAAGTTACAAACTTACACCAACTAGTTCTAAAACTTACACAGGCATGTTTCTAAAACTAACAAAAGTTACAAACTTACACCAATCTTGTTCTCCAACATGCTAACATTGTGGGAACACAGCCCGTCACCGGACATGGCCACGGTGACCGGACAAACTCCGCTTAAAGATCCCTACCTTGCATGTAATAATAAGGATTTGAGATTTCTAATTTAAGGTATTCGGATGTGGCTTGCATTATTTGAGGCGTGACAGCTCAGTGTCCCCGGACGCGTCCGCGGGCGTTTGAGGAACCGGATTTGCAAAGTCCGGTTGCTCTTAGCAGCGTTAATATCTTGTCTTGGTCAATTGATATTTTTGTGTTACTATTAAAATTGCCTTTTCACGGGGACAACCAAACTTACTTCCTCCGTCCGCGAATAAGTGTACATCTAGTTTTTGTCTTAAATTAAAGTTTTAAAACTTTGACCACCTTTCTAGGAAAACGTAAAAGCGTTTACGTCACCAAATTAGAATCACTATATTTGTTTTGAAATATACTTTGATAATATATCAATTTGATATTATATATGTTACTACTATTTTCAATAAAGTTGATCAAAATTAAAAAACTTTGACTTAGAACAAAAGCTAGATGTCCATTTATTCGCGGACGGAGGGAGTACACTTGGCGCAAGTGGGGAGCCAGGATTCGAGTATCGCTGGGCAAGCTAACTTAAAAGAAAATGGCACCGGCAGACGGTAGGTCCAGAAGAAGGCGATGCTGCCACAGCCACTGTCGTCGCTCCCCATGGCCGACCGACGCGCGGTCGATCGAGCAAGAATGAAACAACTTCTTTCGATGGGTTCCTCTTTCTCTGGTTTGTGTTGCCTTGCTATGCTTGATTTATAATGACATGCAAGCAGGACTTCAGTAGCTTCAATTAAAACAAACTCCCGCAATTTTTCTTCTAAAGCAAAGACTTATCTCTGCTGACAATTTTTATCCAGTTATTTTATATTCAGTGATTCATTAATCCACTGATGAGTAGACTACAAGTACCTCCGTTCTAGTTTACAAGTCTCCTTTATATTTTGTGTCAAATTTTAACTAGAGACTTAATTAACAAATTATTAGTGCATGTCATAAAAAATTATACCATTGAATTCGTATTTGAACATAGTTTTTCATTATATTATTTTTATGACATGCATTAACATTTTATTACTTAAATTTAAGGACAAAAATTGACACAAAATACAAAGAGGACTGATAAACGAGGACGGAGGTAGTAAATTCCTTGAGTGTTGTACTCCCTCCGTCCCATAATATAAGAACGTTTTTGACACTAGTGTAGTGTCAAAACCGTTCTTATATTATGGGACGGAGAGAGTAGTATATAGTAATAGTAATAGTAAAAAAATATACAAAAATTGGAGTTGGTAGTGAGTTCATTTGTGGGGTCAACAACCTTCACAATAAACAAATACACTCCTCTTTCTCTTCACATGTGGAAGTAGCAAACTTCCAGGAGACTTATAAACAAATGCACTAGAGCTACTTTAACGGAAAGCCAACAGTCATTTAGAAGACACGGATAACAATTGCAAATAACATGACTCGAACTCAAAATTATGATTTTGGTTTTAGTTTCTCTTCCCAACAAAATTTCAAGTTTTATATCATACCATAGGAGAGTGAACAAATTGTAATGCCCATTCTCCCATGTTTTCAAATTCAAAATGTTGTCTCACTATACATTTTTCAAAGGACCTACTACAGTCACATCAAAGAAAAAAAATTGAATTAGTGACATTGGTATTACTCTTTACAAAGAAAGCAAATGAAATAGGAACTAAACCAGAATCATAATAGTGATGTTTTTTAAGAAAGAATAAATAAGTGGCATTGATACTACCCTTCGAGAAAAGGGAAAATTAAAAAACTAAAACAAACAACGACAAAAAATGTACACAATGTTCACAAAAATGCTCTTTTAAAAAATATGCATGAATAAACGTGTAATGGTGGAATTTTTGCATAAACAATTCCTAAAAAAGGAATGAATTAGTGGCAATGGTTTACCCTTGAAGAAGAGGGCAGCGAGGCTGCATGGGAGCGCCGGCGGCCACGGGTGATGGTGGCCGGGGTTCGGCCGGTGGCATATTTGATGGTTGGGGGAAGAAGAAAAAGAAGGTGGTCTGGAGGTTGAAGGAGCAATCTGCACCGCATGTTTTCCATCCAACGGTTGAAACGAAATCGGCCGACCTAAATTGAAATTTCAGTCGATTTATTACCGCTAGCCATTCCCTTAAAGTATGACCATAATTCATCATGGAAAATAGTTTCACAACGAAGAATCCTGCTAGCTAAGGTTAGGTCTTCTGTTTATGTATATATAGAAAGGTATGCATGCGCGTCTCCCCAATACACGTACGCCAGACACAGAAGCTCTGCTCCGCTAGCTTGTAAGCCATGGCGTTCAACGACGACGAGAAGCCTCCTGCTTCTAACGCAGGTAACACCAAGGGTCTGGTGACCATCACCGAGCCCAAGTTCAGCAAGGACGCGGCGGCCCTGTCGGCGGACGAGGTGACGGCGGTGGTAGAGCTGAAGGCCACCTCGTCGACGGCCGTCCGGGAAGGGCTGGACCTGGTGGCGGTGCTGGACGTGAGCGGCAGCATGCAGGGCGACAAGCTCCAGAGCATGAAGATGGCGATGCAGTTCGTCATCATGAAGCTCACCCCCGTCGACCGCCTCTCCGTCGTCTCCTTCTCCGGCTCCGCCACCAGGCACTGCCCGCTCCGCTCCGTCACGCAGCAAGCGCAGGCCGACCTCAAGGCCATCGTCGACGGCCTTGTCGCCAACGGCGGGACCAACATCAAGGCCGGCTTGGACACCGCCCTGGCCATCGTCGCCGGCCGGGCCACCACCAAAGCCCGCACGCCCAATGTCTTCCTCATGTCCGACGGCCAGCAGAGCGACGGCGACGCCAGGCAAGTCGATCCCGGGAACGTGGCGGTCTACACGTTCGGCTTCGGCAAGGACGCCGACCACGCCCTGCTCAGCGACGTCGCCAAGAAGTCCCCCGGCGGCACGTTCAACTCGGTGCCGGACGGCGGGAACGTGAGCGCGCCCTTCTCGCAGCTCCTCGGCGGGCTCCTCACCATCGTCGCGCAGGACGTGCAGCTCACGCTCACGCCCAAGGCGGAAGATCCCACTGCCCCGGACCTGGACACCATGACGGTGGCGCCAGGGACCGACTACACGCAGACCACCGACGGCGACACGGGCGTCATCACCATCAAGTTCGGCACCCTCTTCAGCGGCGAGACCCGCAAGGTCGCCATCAACTTCAAGCTCCTGGAGAGCACCTTGACGACGGCGTACGACGGATTGGTGGCGGAGGCCCAGCACAGCTACACCGTGCAGGGCAGCTTGCAGGGGCAGACCCCGCAGGACGTGGTGATACCCCGCTCCCCGGACGCGCCCGCCGACCCGCCCACCAGCGGCAAGGCGCAGGCGGTGCTGGCGGAGATGGCGCGTCGGCAGCACGCCGGCGCGATCGGCGAGGCGAGGCAGATGGCCGACGGGAAGAACCTGGAGGAGGCGCGGTACAAGCTGGCGGACGCGCAGAACGCGCTGGAGGACATCGTGCTGAACGACGGCGAGAAGCTGGTGGGCATGCTCCGCGCGGAGCTGCAGCAGCTGCTGGACCTGATGGAGACGCAGGAGCTGTACGAGGCGGAGGGGCGGCCGTACGCGCTGGCCTCCGAGACGTCGCACGGCCGGCAGCGGTACGCGGCCAGGGGCGGCGACATGGACGCCGTGCGGCTGTTCGCCACCCCGCGCATGGACACGTACCTGGAGCAGGCCAAGAAGTTCGAGGAGGACCCCACGGCGCCGCTGCCGTCCGCCGACGACGACGCCAAGGAGGAGATGGCCGCCAACCCGCTCGCCGCCATCTCCGCGCCCATCGCCTTCTACATCAAGGTGGCCATCCAGGCGCTGCAGGAGATCGAGAAGCTCGTCGCCCCGCCCACCAAATAGAAAACAAGCTACTCCATTTCATCACTCGGTCTACTGCTATGTTTGTTTCATCAATCCATTTACTGCTACGTTTTCCTTTCATTTTATCTTCATGGTTGTAAATTTACTTCATCATGAGCTGAAATGAATAAAGGGGCATCTCATCCTCGCTCTTTCCACTCACTTACCACTCGCTAGAACAATGGTTATTGGTTGTGATCATCTACATGCCGCAGTACTGTCAATCACACATGGTCAGGGCCCGCACGGCGGCGACCATTTAGCTATTTTCGAAAGGTGTGGCTAGATCTCGGTCGACTGAGATCTCAATCAAGTGACATAACATGTTAAAAAGGAAAAAAAAAGAAAAAAACAAAGAAGAAAATTGCCCGGATCTTAATGTAAAATATCAAGAATATAGCATCGACCGAGACATAACAAAATCTCCCTCGATTGAGATTTGGCAAGAATAATTTCTATATCAAAAAATAACTATTCTTCAGGTTTTCTTGTTCGAATAAGGCCTCGGACCTATTGATCAAATCATCAAAAATTTATTTTACATCAAATATCAACATATACACACCACTTTATAAGATAAATAAATTACATCAAGGTCTTTGGTGTTCGGTCATCTTCTTCCTCCAGAACAGGTTCAAGTACCTCGCGATGATATCCAGGCTCTTCATCGCCCACACCACTACCGTGGGATCACTTCCCACGACCATGAAGATGACCAACGAGCCAGAGTTAAAGATGTCTGTCTTGGTCATGGCTGTCTCCTTGCCACGTGAGGAAGAGAAGATCCAGTTACTGCTGGAGACCTTGAGGCATGAACATATGTGTTCTGTCTGTTTGAAGCATAATATTTTTAAGACAACGGTATATAAACATATATAATATTCATTGTTTTTCGTCTTTCTGTCCCTATTTGTTCCTAGAAAATTATTACCGTTCGTTTAAAAACTAAGCCTGATAAGAAAAAAAATCCCTCACACATTTAAAAACTAAGTCTTAATAGTCAATATACATTGTAGCAAACAATGAAAAAAAATGGTTGGACGCAAACTGTTTTAGGTCGACAAGGAATCTAATATAGCTAATAATAAAGGGGCTATTGCTTCTTGCGGTGCGTCATAGAAATTGCCCCCAGAGTTACAAAATATTACCCACCAATGTCACCTATAAGCGATAAAAAAAAGATCCACATAGGGGAATCCCTCTCCATGCCCGGGCCATGCACTAGGGACGTCCTATACCGCGCTTCGCGCGCTAGAAGAAACACAACACATCTGTTTGGGCCAACCCATGTCCAGGCGGCCTGTTTTAAAATTTCCTTTTTTATTTTCCTTTTTCGTTTTCTTTTTTGTACTTTACATAATTTGGGACGTCAAAAAAGTTCTGAAAATAAAAAAATGATAATTCTAAATTAAAAACCTTTAGTAAATTAGAAAATAGTTTTGGATTCAAAAAAGTTCACGATTTAATAAAAAAAATGTTGTGCTTATTATACAAATGTTAGAAAATTTGAAAACAAATGTTCAGGAAACGATTTTTTAAAAAGTTTTCGTACTAAAAAGTGTTAATGAAATTGAACAAAATTTCGACTATTCCAAAAAAATAATGAATGGAAAAATATTCTAAAAATTCGAAAACTGTTCATGACTTTCAAAATAGTTAATTCATTCATAAAATGTTCGCTGATTCAAAAAATGATCATGCATTTCAAAAATTGTTCACTAAATAAATAAAATGTTCATAAATTTCAAAAATTGTTCCACCAATTTCCAAAACAATGTTCGTCCATTCTAGAAATGATCGGGAATTCAAGAAAATTGTTAATATAGTGTTTACAATTTTGTAAAAATATTTGCGAAAGCATAAAATGTTCATGAATTCAAACATGTTTGATTTTAGAAAATGTTCGGAAATTTGTAAAAGTTTTCATGAATTTGAAAAACGTTCATGATTTCAAATGTGTTCACGAGTATCAAAAAAGTTCATGATTTCATGAAGTTGAGAGTGATAGTGTATCTCGGTGCAGCAAAATGTGATCATAGCCGTTGGAGATTATTTTTTTGTTCTTCCGCTGCAACACTCGAGCCCTTTTGCTAGTATTACTAAAAGACTATATGGCAGCCTAGAATAGTAGCATCTCCTTGGATGGTGACATGTGTTCACCTAGATGAATTCAGCTTCACAATAGACAAGCATCTCATCTGCAAAATTATATTTGTCGAAGCATGCCATATGATCATTTTGAAAAAGTTGTGTTGGAGCTTTAGGCAATAGAAGTACTTGAGGATGACCATAATAATACCATCTGAAAATGACATGGTGAACCACTTCCACTATCTTCGACCATCAACATCTTTTTAGATTTTGTGAATATCATACATAAAAGTGTATCTCAAAAATTAATTTTATGAACTAATAATTTCACCAGGCATAGTAATTGTACAAGAATTAATGGTCAAACTTACGTTTAAAAGATGCGTTAAAGCATGACTCTCGGGGCTTGATCAGTTCCTAATCCCTGAATGATTTTGAAAAAATTGTAGGTTACCGAAAATACTTTTTGCAAACTGTCTCGGTGAGCCACTTCCAACATGTTTGACCATCAATATCTTCATAGACTAGATGTGTGAAGATCAAACATATGTGTTTGTCTTGGAAAATATCTTCATAATATACTAATTTAATTATTTATTATTTTGTATTTGTTAATCATTAATAGTCAAAGTTACATCTCGAAGACCGTGCCAATATACAAATTCATCCGTTATAGATGGGGGGTGATAACTTATGATATTTGTTTTGACTTGGCTCAACTAGAAGAAAACCGTTTCCCCAACTTAGAACAACCAAGCCACTCATAAAAATAGTATATGCATTAGTGCATGCCTATTAGGACTTGCTAAATGATTAATCTCTAATTTCTTTGACAAAATCTCCAGCTGTGTTGTGTTGAATCTCTAAACGAACTCAAGTTTGACAATGAAAATGCGTTAAGAAACAAGTGTGGAGAGACACCCCCAACATATTTTACCATCAGTACTTTTTAGATGGACATGTGAACATTGTATGACTATATTGGTTCCAAAATTTATTTCAAGTATTTTTCTAATAAGTTATCATTTTTTCCATTTTATTAGAATATTCTTATATATATATAATCTCTTTGACAAAATCTTCACTTGTGTCATTTAGAAATGTACTTAATCTCTAATCTCTTTCAGAAAATTTCTGTGTCGTGTTGAATCTCTAAACGACACTCAAGGTTGACAATGAAAACGCGTTAAGAAACAAGTGTGGCAAGAAACATCCAATATATTTCACCATCAGTATTTTTTTACATCGGACATGTGAACATTGTATGACTATATTGGTTCCAATTGTTTTAAGTATATTTCTAATAAGTTATCATTTTTGCATGTGATAAGAATATAATGATTAAAAAGTTCTGGAGATTGTATTATATAGCTTTCTATATGGATTTTTTATTCAGAGTGTATTATATAGCTTTCTATATGAATTTTTATTTCATTGACCTGTCCATACTTGGAAACCAATGAATGGTCAGTTATATTATGAGTAGTCAATGTGGGACAGATGGACTTACAAAAAATTCTGGTTACATTTCATATTGCCTCCATGTGCTTACTACTATAATCTTATGGATATGATTAACTCATATCCCTGTGGCCCTCTTGCACCTGCACATTTTAATGAATAGAAGTTGGAATATTTTAAATTGGAATGTCAGGAGTATAAACTCTCAAACCAGATGGGATGATTTAAGAGCTAGAATTGAGGAAAGTAATTGTGGTGTTATTTGTATTCAAGAAACAAAAAGAGAAGCATTTGACCAGGCTTACCTCAGAAATTTTTCACCTAGAAGATTCAACCAGTTTGCATATAATCCTGCAATTGGTCTGTCAGGTGGACTTATTACTATATGGAATGGCAGTTTATTCAGTGGAAATGTCATCAGTCAATCATCCTACCAAATCATTGTCAAGTTAACATGTAATCTTTCTGGTCATATTTTTTATATCAGTAATATATATGGGCCCTGTTAGAATGAAGACAGAGTGGATTTTTTTGAATGGCTAAACAATATTGATGCATCACAGATGGACCACTGGATGTTGGCTGGTGATTTTAATTTAATAAGAAGCCCTGATGACAGAAATAGACCTGGAGGAGACACAAATAATATGCTCATGTTTAACAGCCTACTCCAACAATTAGATCTTGTGGAGATCCCTCTTAAAGGTAGAAATTTCACTTTGAGCAATATGCAAGAGTACCCTTTATTGGAAAAACTGGATTGGATATTTACTTCTGCAAATTGGACACTATCTTTCCCTAACACCCTGGCTCATCCACTCACCAGAGTTACATCAAATCATGTTCCTATACACATTCGGATTGGAAGTGATGTTCCTAAATCCTCCATATTCAGGTTTGAAAACTATTGGTTTGAATTTGATGGCTTTTATGAAACTGTCATACAATGCTGGAATAAAAACCATCAGTTGATAAACTCTGCTCAAGATGTTGCTTCCAGATTCAAATGCCTTAGAATGAGACTCAAAAAATGGAGTAAGAACTTGTCCAAGCTCAACACTGACATCTCTGCTTGTAATTATGTTTTATCTATGCTGGATGGCATTGAAGATCAAAGAATACTCAGCACTATGGAAGCCAACTTTAGGATTATATTGAGGAGGCATATATCTAAATTATTGGAAGTGAAAAGAATTTATTGGAAAACAAGATTCAAAATGAGATGTGTGAAACTTGATGATGAAAATACTGATTTCTTCCATGCAATGGCTACCCAAAGTTACAGAAAAAACTTCATTACTTCTATCAATGATGATGATGGAAATCCTGTCCAAAACCATGATCACAAGGTTGCTATCATCTGGAAATCTTTCAAAGACAGATTGGGTAAATCAATTGATCCTCATATGCTCTTTAATCTGGAGGAACTTATCCAGCCTTCTGACCTT